GCTGAGCTCCTCACTGATATCGCTACACAAGACTGTCACCGATTGCTGAGCTCCTCACTGATATCGCTACACTAGACTGTCACCGATCGCTGAGCTCCTCACTGACATCGCTACACTAGACTGTCACCGATCGCTGAGCTCCTCACTGATATTGCTACACAAGACCAGTTTGGCGCTCAGTCGGCCATTTTGGCCAGATTTCTGCTGTATTTCATTGTTGGTTCGGCTTGGTCAGTGTTGCTCAGAGCGTCAGTGTTTTTATCAAGTGAAGGTAGTTCTTACTCAGCAGCTGGAATATCCCATGTGTGACGACAGCAGGACACAAGCAACGAAGCTCAAAGACTGAGTGACATTTTATAATCTGTCTTCCTGCTTCATCGTCACGTAACGTGCTTTGAGTAGTAGCTGTACTGAGTTCATTGCACCATATCCTGGTTTAGACACTTTTATCATTTTCTCTTCTAGTTCTTGTCTAGCTGCTCGGTCTTAAGTCTAAACAGACGAGAGAGGGCAGAAAGGCCAGGCAGGTTTATTTAAATAGCAGGATTCGGACACAAGGCAATTCAAAGTGCTTTATGAAGGTAGAAGGGCACATTTAAAAAAATGACATTAATATCACATTAAAAAATGAGAAAAATAAGATCAGAAGCAGAATCAGAAAACTTTATTGATCCTGGAGGAAATTACTTATGCGATTTACTGTCACAACACAGAGTCACAGAACAGATTCACAGCACAGAGACACAACACAGTCCCACAACAGTGCCACAACACAGAGACACAACGCAGAGCCACAACACAGAGTCACAACACAGAGACACAACACAGAGTCACAAGAACAATATAAAGTAAAATAGTCTAAAAAACATCTAAATAGAAATCTGTAGAAAGAAAACAACCATGATATGAATAGACTATGCTACATACAGAAATTGTAACGTTCGCTGCCCGAGCGGGGAAGTAAATACGGGAGACGGGAATCCACATGAATGGGGATTTATTCTACACAAGGCAGCACAAGACAAACGTTATACTACGACAATGACGGATCTGGGGAACACTGACTCAGACACAGACTAAATACACAGGATACACTGAACAGAACAGGCAACAGGTGAATACAATCTGGAATAAACACTGGGTAACGAGGTGGGCGTGACACACACGAGGCGTGACAGAAATAAACTGAAATAATGGTTGAAAATAAAGACAGAAAGTTTAAAAGCACTAAAATACTAAGATGAGACAGGGAGCAGTCAGAACATGCTGCAGCAGGCTCGTGCCTGCACACAACATTAAAATAATAATAATAATAATACATAATAATAATAAAATTACACGGAACCTAAAAGCGAAACAAACAGTTTGAACAGCTGAAAGTGAATTTAGAAAAAGGTTATAATATGCCTTATTACAACGATAATCCTCTGTTCAAATTACAAAAGGTCACAGATAATTTTTTTTGACACCGATAGCTTTGCTACAGACAGTCAGGGACAGAAGCAGGCGTTACTTTATCGACATACCTGGCAACATCAGTACAGGTTAGTCTTGGCTTTAGTTCCTGAGGTCTACTAAGAAACACCAGGTTAAATATTGATGAGCCCAACCTGCTTCCTGCGTTATCCTGCCCCCCCCCCCCCCAGCGCCTGGTGGACCTGTAGATGCTGCATATCTTTTCGTTATGGGTATTTCTGGGCTGAACTTTATGGTCTCCAGTAAACTTTTCAAAATGTCCCTGAGCTCATTTAAACCGCGGCTCTACATTCCAGTTCAGCATCCTGAGCCTTTTTTTGTGGATTTGTGGGTTTTTTAACACACTTTTTGGAATGTCTGTTCTGTATTTTGTCATCTCAGTTGTGGGTTGTAGATATGTATTGACATCTTGAATATATTCGCCTTTTGCAGCAGGACGGCATTGGGACTAGAATACCCTCCTGCGTTTCCGCGTGACTGTGTTTCAGCACCAGCTGTGGAGTCTGTCTTTAACTCCTTAATAGCCGTCGAGCACGACTGTCGTTTATAAGATGTGCCGAAGTTATTACGCATGACGTCCACAGCTGGTGTGAGTGCATAGGCCTGGTCATTAAGGCGTAGTGAGTGGACTGACCTTCAGAAAGTGTTCAGGATCAGCCAGGCCCTTAACGAACGGGTTCACAACAGGAGGCCCGAGCACAGAGCCTAAGGCTTCTCACCCACTGCTGACTGACATTCATTGCCCTCTTACGGGCGAGAAGCAGCCTGAGTAGTACTGACCCGGCAGGCTGTGTTTGCACGGGTCGGGTGTGATTAAGCAATTAGCTTAGCCGCATAGAGTTTCTCTATCGAGTGTCGAAAGGGAAGATGCTGTTACAGCCTTGAGCGAGGCGCTCAGCTCCGGTGTTTATCCCGCTCTATAAATAGACGCCAAGTAAAGCTCTTGAAGTCACCCTAGATCAGAAGCTTTGGTAAAAACCATTAATATTAATTATTGTAATGAATGCCCAGGGGCTGTGTTTAGAAACACGTGTGGCTTCGAGAGAGAGGCGGTGATTAAGACCTAGATTGAATAGCTGCCCTAAACGTCGCGGTTTATCCCCTAAATTATTCATCTGCGCCCCCACTCAGAGTGGGCTTCCGTCAGAGAGCGAGAGTTGTCATTCATTTTTAATCACGATAATCTGCAGAGTTGGGCCCCGGACATGAAGTCGTTCCCCTTGTTATCTGTCTATACAAGGGTGTCTGAAAGACTTTGGTGTGGCGCAAACTTCCCGTCCGTCTTCGGCGATCTGCTCGAAGAGGGGAGGCCTCGTCGTTACTGGCGTTCGAACCGCGCGTCACGAAACAGGGGGGGGGGCCTTCGCCATGAGCCGAGCCAGACTTTGTGTTTTTCCGAAGCCACATGCTAATCAGGCTCATTAGCCATCGCTGCTTTTTCTATGCTTTCAAAGTGTCCTGCTTTCTTGTTTCTTGTTGTTGTGTGGCATCTATTGAGTGTGTAAATTTCTGGGTTTGTGTATCTGTATTCGGGGGGGGTGGGTTTAATAACAGAAGCCCTTAACATGATGCTGAGAGACATAGAGAGGCAAAGCATGCTGGGTAAACTTTACCTGTCAGTTTATACTTGAATTTGTTCTTTTTGGGGGGGTTAGCTGACCGGGGTTGCTGTCAATTAACTTTCCCAGACGGCCTTTTGCCCAGAGTCCTCTTCCTCTCGCAGGACTCCGATGTCATGACTTTCGGAATCTCCATGCACCGGTCCTGGTGGCGTGAGCACGGCCCTGGGTGTGTCCGTCATGAAGCCCCGCCCCCTGGGGCCCCGCCCCCCGAGGGTCACGCCTACATCTCCATCACTGGCTGCATGCTGGAGTTCAAGTACCTAGAGGTCACGCATTCGGCCATCAGTATCTTCCTATCTGTAAGTAGTCACGCACACGCGTACACTGACTTTGGTGGTGGGGGGGGGAGACCACCACCACCACGCTTCCAGATTCAGGATCTCTATTGGCTATATGTAACTGATGCCTTGGAGTGCTGGTTCAGTCAGCCATACTAAAGAACACAAGACAAGTGCAAAATTCTATAGTACAGATATAGTACAAAAACAGTGCAGAAGCTAGATGGGCTGGTCGCTCCATAAGCGTGTCCCTTTCTCACCATTCTTGCTGTGAGATGCTTTGTATCTCAGGATGGTTTCCAGTCTATATCCAATCCATTTTCGGACATTGGGCTTTTGAGCAGATGGCCTGTTTATTTCTTAATAACTCTGTGGATCTTAACATTGTCTGATTGGCCCCTGTACTCCCCCCCTCCCTGATTGGTTTTTGAGGTTATGAGGCCTGGGTGTGTGTGGGTGGGAGAGGGGGGGCTGTATGGTTAAGACCTCATGTGACTCTCGCTATCTGTTTCCTGTGTGCTGCTCGTACCCGGATCCCTGCCGGGCGCTGAGCGAGACGCCAATTATAGTCTGCGTCATGATGCATTAGGAACTCATCTGGTGAAGCTCATGTGAAGTTCCTTTCAGAGGCATTTAGGCAGAATTTCCCTGAATATATTAGCTAGCTATTTGCATATTTCACCAGCAAACGCATTAGTCTGCTTTAAAATTACTGTGTCAATTGTTGTTAATCCTGCACCTGTCTGCAAGCACTCTATGCTGTAGATGTTCTCTTTTATAAAGGCATTTAGTAAATGAGAGTGAGAAATTATGTACGGACATGTTTGTGGTATTAATGAATGTGTTCTCCCTGTATTCTCACTTTATACCCTGTGCTGCCTGGTATCCCTACCACCTCGCTTTATGCCCTGTGCTGCCTGATATCCCTACCCCCTCACTTTATGCCCTGTGCTGCCTGGTATCCCTACCCCCTCGCTTTATGCCCTGTGCTGCCTGATATCCCTAACACCCTCGATTTATACCCTGTGCTGCCTGGTATCCCT